TGAAAGATTATGTGATCAGATTCTTACATATTTGGACATCTGACCTCCGTTGAAAGACAGGGTACGAATTAAGACTGGCCGATCCTTTACTTCAGCGGACATCCGAAGATCAAGTGCTTAGTCAAAAGGGTCAGCTGATCTCTGGTGAAAGTAAGGATGAGTATTTAGATTGGCTGATGCTCCCATTCAGCCTAGGCATAGCAGCAGATGCTGTGTATTTCATTTGTCAGTGAGTTGGGTGGGCAGGGTAGTTGGGGGGTAACAAATCTCCAACTTTTAATGAGGTGGGGGATTTGCGGCAGGATAGAATTGCATTGTGCGTTACGTCTATTTCATTTTTTTCAGAGCTCAACATCCTGCTACAGGCAAAACATTGTATGGTATGTTATTCTATCAAATGGTTAAATAAGCTATACAAAAAAATAAAAATAAAAATGCAGAAACCGGTAAACACTACATCGCCAATTTTTTTTTTTTTTAACTTAGCTTAGAAGACAAGCCCTGCAGCCTCCTCCTTGGCACTGATGAGGTTAAGCATTGCTCCGCCTCCTTTTCTGCAGTCGGCTAAGCTGTTTTTTCAGCACTAATTACTCCAGATAGCTGTAATTTACAAGTTGGTGGTGGGTCGGAAGGCTCCAAGCTTCACACGTCCTCCGATCAACAGCTGCCACTATTAGAAAGCTAATTGCGCAGCCTTCTGTAGCATGCAGCAGGCTGGCTGCCTGTGCGATGGAGGCCACAAACTGGCTGCTGCTGAAGAGTGCCAGAGCCGCGGAGAAGCAGCATCAAACTCCACCGTCCCCTGCCAGTGGAGGGGAGATGAAGGACATTCAAGGACCGGGCAGATTAAGAAGTTACTGCTTGAAGGAAGAACTTCACTAAGCATGGCTTCTATGTAATATGGCAGCGCAATACCATGGCGAATCCGATATTAAAATATGAATTTAAAGTGATACTTAATTCAGGAGTTAAATCTTAAAAATACATTCAAGTACCTAAACTATTAACTATACTGTATCATATTTGTGTATCACTGGGCTGTAGATCCTCCAATCATCTCTGAATTGGTGCTGACACTGTCCTACCTTCTGGAGGGTGGCTACTTTTGTTCCCCATGGTCCCCGTGTGTGTTGTAAAGCAGTCACCGCTCCAAACTCACTCCTGTGATGGACTACAATCTCAGATTTGGCTTACTAATTTGTATTGAGATTGTAGTCCATCACAGGAGTGAGCTTGGAGCGGTGACTACTTTACAACACACACGGGGATCATGGGGAACCAAAGTAACCACCCTCCAGAAGGTAGGGCAGTGTCAGCACCAATTCAGAGATGATTTGAGGATCTACAACCGAGTGATACACAAATAAGGTCCAGTGTTGTTAATAGTTGTGGTACTTGTCCCTCTAACATATCTACTAGTATGTTTTGCTTGAAAACTCATGCAGATAGAGAAAAACAGACTAACTTCATGAAGATTGCGTCCTTGTTAGGAATCCAATCCTGGACTACAGACTTCAGTGTTTTCTATTGTTATATGGAAAATACATCCCCTACATCACGTTAAATTGCCATGCTTTACTAGTGGCAAATAGTGAGCTATCCTAAGGAGAATGTGTATTGATGAGGGTACCTGGGGTGCTTTGTTTGTTATATGTTTGTGCACAGAGGGCCCTGTGGCACTAGCAGAACTTAAAAATATTAGATAGCCTAGTGTTCTTGTTCAGGTTAGAAAACCGATTCTGTTTGAATACACATTACTGTGTCTATAGCAACAACTTCTGCAGTATACAATTTCGGTCACTAGATGGCAGTGTGTTTATAAGTTCTGTTATATATCTACGGTAGATACTAGGGATGAATTGAAACCGTTTTTTTGGTATTGAGTACGAGTACCGATACTTCTATTTCGGTACTCATCGATACCGAGTACCGATACTTCCGGTAGCATAGAGCCGCCTTCCCGGGCCATCAGGAAGCCTTCTTGATTGCCCGGGAAGCCGACTCCATTCTGTTTGGCCGGGAAGCCAGCTTCCCAGCCAATCGGCATCGAGGCCGCCCAAAAAGATCTGACAATATGGTGACACGACCCCCACCCTGCAGGCACCTAATTCCCCCTCACATAGATCCTTAGCATTCTTCAACGTACTAGTCCCTCAGCCAGCTGGGCAGACATCGCTCTCCCGGATCTGCCCACGTCTCCTATGTGTACAGCGCTCACGTGATCGGCTCTCAGCCTGCTACTGCGCAGACTGCCCAGGACTCTAATTCAGAAATCCTGTGCATGCGCAGTAGCAGGCTGAGGGCCGATCACGTGGGCGCTGTGCACACATGAGATGGCAGATCTGAGCTTGGAGAGCGGTGTCTGCCCAGCTGGCCGTGGGACTGGTACGTTAAAGAATGCTGCTAAGGATCTATGTGAGGGAAATTAGGTGCCTGCAGGGTGGGGGTCGTGTCGCCATATTATCAGATTTGTTTGCCCGACTCGACACTGATTGGCTGGGAAGCCGGCATCCCGGCCAATCAGCATCAAGCCAGCCAAACAGTATGGAGCCAGCTTCCCGGCTCCATCTTTCCTCGCGGCACTGCCGGTCAGAGGAAATCTCCCTCTGACTGGAAGTTCCAGTATCGGCAAAGGTATTGGAGTATTTGGGCGAGTACGAGTACTCACCCAAATACTCGGTATCGGCACCAATACTAGTGTCAGTATCGGTGCATCCCTAGTAAATACTCTGTTGCATTGAATAAGGTAGATAATAAAGCTGTGGCTTCCTTCCTGTCTTCAAGCCATGTGCAGTGTGCATATCTGACTGTGTGTTTGTGTTTCTCTGTGAGGCTGTGCAAGACGTTCCAACACATTGACCTTTATCTCTATGAATCCCCCTATCATTTTGCAGCCAGGGTTCAAAATTTCCACTCACCCCCTCGCAATTGGCGAGTGAAAATTGCGAGGGGGCGAGTGGAAATTCATGGGGGGACTGCTGCCGCTTCTACAGCGGCGATCGACGCTTCAGCAGCGGCGATCGCTGTGTCAGTTCTCTCACCTCCTCGGTCACTGCCACTACAGAGCGGCCGAGGAAAAGAATCAGTCCGTCCTCCTCCCCCTGCCACCCCCCTTCACTTACTTCTCTCCTCGCTGCTCCGTCCTCTGGCCGGCCGCCGAGTCTGTCTCCTCACCGGCCGCAGGGAGCAGAGCGGCAGGGTTAACAGTAACGCTGCCACTCCGTGATAACCAGTGAGAGGGGAGAGCCATCTTCCCCCCTCACCTGTCACAGAAGTTCTAGCACAGTGCTGTGCTAGAACTCCTGTATTGGAGGTGACAGGTTCAATAAAGAGAACCTGTCACCTCCAAATGCTATCACACAGGGGATTGTTAGTTCCTGTGTGATAGCAATAGAGTTAAGTGAAAAAAAAATTGTTAAAAAAAATAATTAAATAAATGTAAATAAAAAGGTGATTAAAAAGTAAAAAAAATTCACGGCCCACTTGCCATGATAACCAGTTGTTTGGCAGGCTCCTTCCCTACAGGGACCCGGGCTCCATTGCATAGGAGGAGGACAGGAGCCTGCCAATCAGCTTGTTACTATTCCCTGGGTCATATTTGCGAGAATGAGGGCATGCTGGAACTTGTAGTTAAATTACGACATGTCCCAGCATGCTTTCATTGTACCTGTACACCCCCACATATCACGGGGGGGAGTTTGTCCTGCCCCGGGCGCCGGTTACGCCGCTGGGTCTCTGTACTGTGCAGCACACCGCGGGTCTCTGTACTGTGCAGCACACCGCGGGTCTCTGTACTGTGCAGCACACCGCGGGTCTCTGTACTGTGCAGCACACCGCGGGTCTCTGTACTTGGCGTTGTTACTGATCTCTGTACTCTGCGTTACACCGCTGACCTGACGGAGTTAAGGCCAGGGCAGGGTAGGGGTTAGTGGGACAACCTGTGGCGAGTAACTACTAAGGACTGGCTAGTAACTTAGGACTTGAAATTTTGAGCCCTGAGCAGTTGGAAAGAAAACAATGGGTAACACAACTGATTTACTTACTGTACACAGGAGTATCCCAGCTTTGGTTTCAGCGAATTGCTGAAAAACTTCTGTCCTCTCCTATAAAAGAAAAAAAAAGGGAATAACCATGTAAGTTATAATAGCCAACATCTTGTGTTCACTTTAATTCAAAGTGCAACTGAAGCCAACAGTTTTGGGTTAGAGAATTAGAACCCCCCCCCCCCCCTTTTTTTTATTGCTGTGTGTCCGAGTTAGGAAGATTCTTCCTCTTTATTTGTCCTGGTGACTTATCACTGAAAATCCCACATTCAGGGTTGTCATCAGAACAGGAGTAGATGGAAAATCTTCAAATGGGGACACTAGTTCTGGTGACCCTGCTGACCACCAGGGATTATATCTCACTCTATCACTTGGACAGGAAGTGAAGGGAAATCTCCCCAATGGGACACAGAAGGGCTAGAACGCTGGTCCCATCTATGTCCTGCTTTGGAGATTACCCTCTGCTTTTTTCTTCTTCTTGGAATTAAGAGGAAATTATGAAAATCTCCTCTTATGCTGTTGTCACCGGAACAGGTGTCCTGATTGGGCGATATTGGATGTTTGTGAAATTTTAAAAGTTCCTATACCAAATGCTATCATTACATTGCATTAATTGAATGCAGTTACCAGAACACAATACTTTTCATGATAGTGGTCCTTAAAGGGCCAGCACCAGAGAGAGAGAGAGAGAGAGAGAGCGAGAGAGGAGAGGGGGGAGAGGAGAGGGG